CTGCTGGTATGTTGTCCCCAGCTTGTCTTTGCTGTGATCAGGAAGCAAAAGAATGTGGGCTTCTGACAGAGAAGGATGGGTTGGATTCTAGCTGCATCCATTAGAAGCTCAACACCAGGAATGGTGGCCCTGTGCAAGTCACTGTGTCTGCCTCAGTCTCAGTTTTCCATTCTACAAAGGTTAATTCCTGCCTTGAGTGTTTATGCAAAGATAAAGGGTAAATGTTGGGAAGTGGATCCTCACTTCATTGCAAAGCTTTGTAAATTCTCTCTTCTTAATTAAAATACACATTCCGCCCTCCTTCAGGGGTGCTGACTTACCTTGCAGCAGCTGCCTATCCTTAGTGCTTTGCCCCAGCTGTGCTTTCTGCAAAGAGAATAGTCATGTGACCCCCCATATTGGTGGAAAGGGGCTCCTGGTGGCCATTGATCAGAATTCCCCAGCATGACTACAATCAAGGTGTGGAAACTGGGGGTGAGGGGAAAAATCTCCAGACTGAGGATGACTTAGATCTTACAGAAAAGGCCTAAAGTAAGTCGTGGCTCAGGAATTTTGCCTGGAAAGCCCATCTAAGTCATGTAAGCCCTCCCTTCTTCTGGCTACTTAGCAGTCCTGGAATTTGCTGGTCTGAGACATTAGGCCATTTAAGGGCATGATGGTTGAGCAAACGCTGGTCAAGTTATTACATCAGTGCCTCATTCATTTGCAGATATTTGAGTACCTACTGTCTTCCAGGTCAGCATGCTGAATGAGAAGATACAGTGCAGGCAAAACTGTGCCTGCTTTCTGCCCTCCTGGGGCTTTCCATCAGCAGAGGGAACTGACTTTGAGCAAACAACTAGGAAATATGACTTGCTGTGAAGGATAAGGAACTTCTGGCCAGGGGAGAGGGTTCCAGGAGGGTTGGGCTTCTCTCAGGACTGGAGACCTCAGGGTGAGCAGGTGGCAGGCAGGAGGGACAAGGGAGTATGTATGTGAACATGGAACAGCACCAGACCCTAGAGGTGTAGAAAGGGGTGGGGAGGAAGAGGCTCACAGGGGACAGGCTGGGGCATCACCAATGCTATGAAAATTGTGGATTTTCTCTGCATGTATTATAAAATGCCAGCTATGCAATTAAATCCACCTACACTGAATGTATGCACGATACAGCCCACTAGTAGTGAAGCACTCAGATGCTGTAAACACTTTCTTTGTAACCTGTAAAACAGTGTGGCCAATTAAAGGCCTTGTGGGTGAGACCCCATGGCTTAGGCTGGTAGGGTCCTTTAAATCTCAGCCTCTTCTATGCTGCTGTAATATCAAAACATGAAGGCCTGCAAACCAAGCCAGATGGGTTTTATTGTTTGTTTGCTTGTATGTTTTGTTTGTTTTTGGTGATGCTGGGGTTTGAACTCAGGTCTTTGCAGGTCTGCCTGAGTGGCAGATACTCCACCACTTGAGCCACACTCCTAGTTCTTGTTTGTTTTTGAGACAGGATCTCTCTGTGTAGCTCAGGCTGGCTTTGAACTCAAAATTCTCCTGCCTCAGTCTCCTGAGTGCTGGGATTATGAGCTAGTGTTACCATGCCTGGCTTCAGAATGTGTTTAACATTGGTGGAGGGGTGCACAGGGAAGCTGGGGAAGATGGCAGATTTGCAAAATCTGCCTGAATATGCTTTGATTATGGGAGCATTTTTTAAAAAAACATAGAGTATAATTATAAGAAACTGGAAAATGCATATCTGCATATCTTTACTTCCTTTCACAAGTTATAAGACATGTCTGCTTTAATTAATGACAGGTTTTTGTGCCAGGTGAGGTGGCACACCCCTATAGTCTCAGCACTCAGGAGACTAATGTTGAGAAGGATCTTGAGTTAGAGGCCGGCCTGGGTTACATAGTAAAATCTTGTCTCAGAAAAATAGTAAAAATTAGTAACAGGCTTTGAAAAATGTATCTGCTTAGGAAAGTAAAGTGAATATGCTATCTAATTTGGTAAGTATAAATTTATATAACTCTATGATTATAGCAAAGTTATTTTAAATATGTGTTATGTTATAATTAGAGGACTTTCAAATTGTAGTATTCTAAAAAAGTGTAATCTGTAAAGATTGCTCTAATTACGGTTACAGTGAGAACATCTCCACTTTGGGTATATCAAGCACAATGATTATTGCTTAAATTCACTAACATATTATTATATTTATAAAATAACTGCAGAAGAAATTATTTCATGTCCTAGTTGGATATTTAAGATGTAGTCATCTTTGAGGTCCACAAATCCCAAACTGTGTTGGTGTTGATTTAATAAAGCTGTCTCTCCATGTTCCCAGGGGATTGGTTCCAGGACCCCCACAAAAACCAAAAATCGTTGGATGCTCATGTCCTTATATTAAATGTCAGACCTGAATATAACTTACACCCTTCCCTATACTTTAATTCATCTTTAGATTGCTTTTAATAACTACTAGCTACTCAGGAAGCAGTGGTAGGAGGACTGCAGACTGAGGCCAGACCCAGGCACAAAGTGTGACCCTATCTGAAAAGTAAATGAAAGCAAAAAGGGCTGAGGGCATGACTCAACTGGCAGATGCATGAGGCCCTGAGTTCAAACTCAAGTCCAACCAAAAGGAGGAAAAATTTTTAAAAAATTGTACCTGTTCTGAACATTTATAGGCCTTTGTCTTGTCATTATTCCCTAAGAAATGAAATACAGAATGGCATCTATTTTCATAGCACTGGTGATGCCCCAGCCTTCCCCTGCCATGAGCACAGGCCATGGGTTAGGTAGATGTCACTGTGAGGGAGTGTTGCTCCCAGAAGATCTCTGGAGAGAATGCCAGGATGTTCTTACGGGGTTTCTATCCACTGAAAACATGAAACCAAATGGTTTTGGTGGCCAGGTTAATAATGGGAAAATTATATGTAGTGAAAGACCACTCTTGAAAATGCCTTAGATGGCCAGTTAATATAGTATAAACACCTTTGTGAGGGGGTGGGGGCAGGGGGGAGAAATGACCCAAACATTGTATGCACATATGAATAAAAGAAAAAAAAATTAAATAAAATAAAATAAACACCTTTGTGTATGTGTATATAAAGAAATGGCAGAAGATTGTCTGGGGTTGGGGGTTAGATGTAACTAAATGGAAGATTGGGTTGCCCTGAAAATAAGTGGAAACTTCCTGTGTAGCAGGTTACTTATGTACTGTAACTGTTGGACAAAATCTGTCACCTTAGATATTATTATATCCATCATACATTTGTGCTCATTTGAACTATGAACGTTTTATATATATATAAATATATACACATACACAAAGGTGTTTATACTATATTAACTGGCCATCTAAGGCATTTTCAAGAGTGGTCTTTCACTACATATAATTTTCCCATTGTGTGCCAATTTAGAACTTATTCCCCGTATAAGAAATGACTTTCAATTACTAAAATCTGGCTACTTTTTTTCTGTCGGAATATTCTTTAAGTCCAACCACCTCTTGCTCCAAATTAAGCTTTCTCATTTGCTTCTGCAAAAGAATATGGAATATATTCTTAGCGCTGAAGCAGTTTTCTCTGACCCTTTCTTCAACCTAAGTGGTGCATTCCATTAGCCGTTTTTTGTCATCCTTAGTGCATACATGGTGCTGATCCAGCCACTTATAAGGTGGTGGAACCCATCATCCCGCCAGAGGCACTGGACAGAGAAGGGGCTGAGTGCTTGGGGACTTGGGCTGTGAGGACTCCTTTGTACATTTCTCTCTGTGATCTTGGACTTCTCTAGGGCTTAACTTGAAATGTGACCAGATGGGCATGGATACTCCCAAGGCCCCTTCCAGCTCTAATACTGTATATTTAAAAATTATTAAACAGGCATTTACTGAGCACTTTCTGTATACACATATTGTCTTGGAGAATATTCAGGGAAAAGCCAAAACTCTGCCCTGAACGAATTTAGAAATTCTTTCTCTCCCTTGGGTGGCAGGTGAAGCCCCTTCATGGAGACCCCAGTGAGGAACCTCAAAAGGTGACCACCCTGTTGTCCCCACCTACAGATCAGATTTGCAGGAACTGCTCCTTGGACACAGTACCTCTTTACCCACGTTTCTCTTTTAGTGCAGCAAGCCTCTTCAGCAAAGAGCCAAATATGCTTGGTCCCAAGCCATACAGTTTATGTCAAACCCTCCACTTTGCAACCAGATCAGGTATAGACAGTATATAAATGTGGCCGTGTTCTAATAAAACTTTATTTATACAGACAGCTTGATATTTATGTCCTGTAGTTGCTTAAAAGATAACATCCTGTCTGAAACTCTAAAAATGAGGTGGATGAGATGTCTCTGTGGATGAGACATCTAACTGGGGTCTGTAAATGTGTCCAGATGAGAAGACAACATGTTTTCTGTACAGTCAGCCTTGTCTGTCACCAGCAGAAACCTGACTGTAGATCTTTTGTTCCTGGGCTTGTTCTACAGGAAGAGCACTGGGAACCCTCCACTAGGTAGTTAAGGATTCCTGTGGTTCCCAGAGCCAGGTTGCTGATGCTTCCACCTTTGTCTTCAGGGACAGAAACTTGTACCCAGACAAAGGCTCTTTGGTTGAGGTTGACCCAATAAAGCAAGCTTGTTCCTGCTTTTGGAACTGTCCACAGGCCCTCACCTTGTTCATCTATCCCTGGCCTCTTCAGGATGTTCTAAAGGAGAGAACACTGCTGGCTGTGTATCCCAGGGTTTTGTTGGCAGAGGGCTCTGTGTGTTGCACAAGGCAATGAGATAAGACAGGAAGTGACCGCAGGAGATTCTCCATGTCATGATCAAATCAGATAATTGTGCCCCTCAGGTATTGGAAATTGGAAATGGCTCATCCTAGAAACCCAGCCACTTTAAATCGTTTGGGTGCATAAATAAATAATTTTTATAAGTCTTGGAAAATGGTGGTTAGGACTCCAGGGAGGAGGGGCATTTGTTCTATAAGCTGGTGTTTCAGCAAGCCACCTCTGTGGCTTTGTTTTGTTTGCAGGGAGAGGGGACATTCAGCCTCAGTTGGACAGTGCTCTCCAAGATGTCAATGACAAATATCTCTTGTTGGAAGAAACAGAAAAGCAGGCTGTCCGCAAGGCTTTGATTGAAGAGCGCGGCCGGTTCTGCACCTTCATCTCCATGCTGCGACCAGTAATAGTAAGTTGGTGGAAAGCTCCAGAAGGCTTGAGCTCCAGTGTGGAGGGGGCTTTCCTTCTCCATTTGTGCATTTGCTGTGAGTCTTTAGGAATCTGTTATTGTAAGGAATCATGATGGTAGAATCTATAGACGTGCTCTGTCCCCATTGACTCCAGCCCACAGGTCACTCCATAATGATGGCAGATTTCGTCTTTCTATTTCCCAAAAGAACAGGCTTGTAATGCCTTTAGCAGAGATTCCCCAGTCCCTTGGTGCCTGTCATAGAAGGTCAAAAGGATTATGCATCGACCCTGATAAAAGCAGTTGACAGGATGATGAAGTGAATCACTCATGATAATAATGTATTGTGAATTACTTTCTTTAAGGAAGAAGAGATCTCAATGCTAGGGGAAATTACACACCTTCAGACCATATCTGAAGATCTGAAGAGCCTGACCATGGACCCTCACAAACTGCCCTCCTCCAGTGAACAGGTAGGAGTTGGGGGCGAGACTTAGGGGAACAAACCAGAGAGAGAAAAGTTCACATCTTGGGTGTTCTCTGTGACATCATGACATTGTCAATCGTGTATGTATTTCATTGTGCCCTTTACATTGTAATTTATGGTAATCACCATAGCCAGCCACTATGCAGCACTCGTGTTGGCGTCAGGCCCTGTTCCAGGCTCTCTACATGGACTGGCTTGGTTCATCTTCACTATTATGCCCATTTTGTGGAGAGGACACTGAGGCAGAGAGAGATGAAATCTTTTAAACTAGGTTCCCCTAGTTTGTAAGTGGTGGAACTGTGGCTCGAAGAAAGTGATCCAGTACCAGAGCCTGTGCTTTCAACTACTGATGTCATCTGCCCTCTAGACATGAACTCTTAGGAATGTGACAGTGGTGTCATTTGGTTTTTGCTTCACCATCTTCCATTTTTCCAATGCTAATTCAGTAATGCATGGGGATCTCTCCCATCTTAGTAAAATATGACATTTTTATGCTTTATTCATTTGGTGGACGTGATGTTAGCACTATATCAAGTAGAAGAGATGTGTTTGGGGGAACAACTGATGAGTCACAGGCTGGCTTTAGCCATTGGTATACAACTCAGTCAGCTCAGAAGATAAATTTGGAAGCTGTGTTTTCTATTCTATGAAATTGCTTCCAGTGGACCAGAGGATGCATTCACTCAGTAAGTAGACATTTGTGGAGCTACCTCTTAGGTGAAGGAGAGGTGGACCTGACACTCAAGTGACTCTTTGTCAAGCAGGGGAGACAGATGCAGAAATAACTGTGAGAAGAATTGTCTCGCTCTTGATTCTGTCAGGTTTGCAGGTTTCTAACCCTGGCCAAATAGGGGACGAGTGACTACTGAATTCAAGTGCAGGTTTAACAAGTCCAGAAACCATTATTACCTTTATGGTGCTACGAGGTGAGAATCCTGCAAACTCTAGCCTTGGGCATAAATAGCTCTTGTAAGTTGTTAACTGGTTACTGTAATTCTCTCTCTCTGTTTTTTGACTGATAGTTCATAGTTGTCCTCTTCTCTCCCTACCTCCTATTAATAGCAGTTTTGCTTGTCTCTGAAAAAGGATTGTGACATTGATGGATTGGTAGTGTGGGTCTTCAAGTAAAAACAAAATGTAACTTTTTTTTCTTTAATTCCTACCCCCTGGAAGGCAGTGTTTTGATGTCATGGTGGTTGTTGAATGTGATGGGTGAGGTTTCCTTTCTCAGAATTTTGCTGACCCCGCTGCCTCTGTCCCTTCAGGTAATTTTGGACTTGAAAGGTTCTGATTACAGTTGGTCATATCAGACACCACCCTCTTCTCCCAGCACCACCATGTCCAGAAAGTCAAGTGTCTGCAGGTAAGTGAAGCCGGGGTCCACTCTTGTTTTCTGGGACAAGTTGTTTTTTCTTTGTGCTAATGTGAGCAATGGAGCCAGTCATTATCTCTGAGAATGGCTCATTTTAAACGAGTGGTGAAGTGATCAACTGAAGGAATGGTCACAATTTTGGTCTCACTCTTCAGTCTCTGGATTAATTTTGGATCAGAAAGAAAACCCCATTGGCCCTTAGACTAGAACTGGAGCCCCCTCGATTGCGTGTTTTATGATACTGGGTTTGATTTCCTGTTTAGCAGAGGGAGAACCATAAAGACTATAGAAGGCAAACCAAGGTTGTTTGTTTTTACTGTGTGTGTTTAGGGGGGGGGTATGGCGCTGGGGGTCAAACCGAGGGCCTTGTGCATGCTAGACAAGTGCTCTACCACTGAGCTAACCCCAGCCCAAGCTTGGTTCGTACACAGGCTGATCTCACTGTTGCCAGAACAAGTGGAGGAAGTAACAATGGCTTGTGCCCTCCTTTCTCACAACATTGTTGTTTCAAGTTTTCATAAAGTAAATGGAGTTCTTTGTCAAACTCCACCCTCACCGCTCTGCTGACTAGAGCTGTTACCTATGGAAACAGAATCATTTGGAACAGTTCTGCCACCTGTAGGGCTATTCTTATCAAGCAGTTTTGTTAGGCAGCCATTCTTGGCTTACTGACTGGGAAAGTCATTCTCTGTTTGACAGATGGAAACATCGTCACACATCACTTACCTTTATTGGTTTACTACACCTGCTATTAATCGTTTTATTTGGCTTTTCAAAGCCAAATGAATGTCTACTTCCTGTGAATTAGCCTTGAGAGGAAGGAGCAGGATGGATGTGCTCACTCTGTGTATGGAAATGTGTTGGACATCCCGGTGTGTGTTTTGTTTCACCCTGGAGCTTGTACAGTGTACACTTGGCAGGCTACATCCTGACACCTGTTCTGACAGTGTGGGTTGGATTCTTCTCATCTTTCATGGGCTCTGTGTATAACAGACATAGAGATAGACAGACAGATAGATAGATAGAAAGATAGATAGAAAAATAGATAGATAGATAGATAGATTTAGTAGCCAATTTCTCTCATTAAATTGTAAAACAAGTTGCATGGTATCTTTTCTTCCTTATAGTCTTAGTGGGAAAACCCAGTTGCCCTGGCTTTTATGAGCTGGCAGGAGTGCAGTTGCTCTGAGCTGTCTGCGCTCAAATACCCTCTTCAGGCTGATTGTGAAGAATGACAAAAATCATGGCATTCATCCCCCACAGCAACACGTGCCCCTTTCTCTATCTGAACATCCTACTAAAGCAGGTCAGCTACACAGTACCCCACTGCCTCATTCGCTGCGAAACAGAATCTCTTGCAGGGTTGGGAGCAGAAACCACAGACTTCCAAATCCCAGGCTGGTTTGTTGATTTCATTCCCTCCCGAGTTCCTGTGTTTGGACCATAGGACTCTGCACATACCTGGGTTACTACACAGAGCACAGCACCCTCCTGCAGCTGCAGATGGAATGCAGGCAGGACACCCAGAGGGTGTGTGTCATCGTGTCACTTCCTGTTTACTGTTCCATCTCAGAAGCAAACTGATTAGCATTGATTGCCTTTTCTCACTGAAAGCTGCCTGCCTGCCTCTCGCCAGGTGTGCTGTTATGCTAGGTCCACAGATATTTAATGGAGCAACAGCTTGGATCAGGGCGAAGGCATTAATTAAGCATTGGCTTTGCTAATAAAAGGGAAAGCACTTTCAGGCAAACCTGCTGAGTTGATCTGCTATTGTTCTTTACTGTGGTCTGTGCAGGCTCACCTAGAGTGATACCACTTTGGGTCCATCAACACTGGTTGGCTGTGTTGACCCACCTGAGGGCAATGGACCAGGTCAAATGCTGAAGCCTTAGGGAGTTTGCTCCAGGATCATGAATTCTGCAGGTGGATAAACAAATTAACCTGCCTCTTTCCATGCAAAGAACATCCGACTATCATGAATGACATGCCGAGTTGGGTGCCATTGGCTTTTTGAATCACTGGCTTCCCTCCTAAGAAGGTCACATTGTACATTCAGACAACTGGCTCCCCAGTGCTCACCCAAAAAAGCCTTTTGTTTACCAGCTTAATGATTTGATGTTTTGGAAACAGGTTCTATGGTTTGTGCCCTTTCTCTGAGTCAGAGCTGATTGTGTGATATGCTCTTCCCCACTCTGCCCCATGCTGTCTGTTCCTCCTTCCTCTCACTGCCTTCCCCTCCATGCCTGCCACCCTCTGCTTGCCCCCACAGCAGCCTAAACAGTGTCAACAGCAGTGACTCCCGGTCCAGCGGTTCCCACTCGCATTCTCCCAGCTCACATTACCGCTACCGCAGCTCCAACCTGGCCCAGCAGGCGCCCGTGCGGCTGTCCAGTGTGTCCTCCCATGACTCAGGATTCATATCCCAGGACGCCTTCCAATCCAAGTCGCCCTCCCCCATGCCACCTGAGACTGCCAACCAGGTAAGGGTGCCCTTGGCCCAAGGAGCAGCCAGCATACTCCGTGACCTGATGGCCATCAAAGGCTGGAACCAGAGGAAGACAGATCCCAGTCTGCTGACTTGGGACACCTCTGGTTTAATCCTCATCTTTTAAGATGGCGTTCCCGAAGGGAGGGGTATTAAAGGGAGAGTAAGACGCCCATCTCCGTGGTGGTAGTGGTTGAGTTACCACACTGATCTGGGGAGTCCTCACATGAAAGTAGACAGCCCGAAAGAGGCTGAGTCATTCCCTAGCATCCCTGTAAGTGCCCAGCCTAGTGTGATGCTATCATTAATGGGCACTGGCACCGTGGAGACACCTCCTACTCCCCAGGTTCTCCCCAAATGGCTGAGACCCTATAGTTGAATAGTACCTCAGGCGCCCTTCCTGGGCACTCTCAGGTCCCCTCTGTCCATTTGCGCTGTGCATGTGAATAACTCATCAGAGCTGTTGGTACTTGGAACCTGGGAGGAGGGGAAGTGCGGATCTCTGTGGCCACACTTGGGTTAGATGGTGCCCAGCCCAGCCCAACACTCAGCTGCCACAGGAGGTAGAAGCGGGGCAGGACCCCGGATGACCTTCACGCGCAGTGTCAGCCATGTGCCCCTGCAGCCGCCTCTCTCCCTTAGTGCCAGCACACCCTCCCTGGCTTAACACTTCTAAACAGCACAGGATGCCGAAACGTGTGTGTGCCACCACTAGCATGCCGCACGGCGCCACCTGTTGGGGAACTTGGGCCAGAGCGCCTCATTGTCAGCCAACGCTGGTGAGCTCAGAGCCTCAGCTCTTCAGCACTGTACGGCCATCATGGGGGACTGTGGCCGTTCTCTGTGTTCCTTGTTTCGAGACTCAACTTCCCACTAAAGTGTTCAGAGCCAGGTGTATGGCTCTAGTTTTAGTGTGCTTGTCCCACTTGGGGTGCTTTGGCTTAAGGTGTCACCTGTCCCCTGCCATGTCCTTCTCTAAGCCGTGCCTGCTCCAACTGCAAGCGGAGTGTGAACAGTACTTGAAGCTGCTCAAAGGCTGTTCTAGTGTGCGGTGTAATTGTGCATTTGTTTTTAACGGGCTGGAAATTAACACGGTAGAGCGCGCTGACTCCCTTTTCTGAAAAAGAAAAGCACTTGAGCCTTCCTGCCCACGACTTGTGGGGATGGACTGAAGCAGGGTTTCCACCTCCAGTAATGTTGGGGGAGCCGAAGGTGGAAAGTTGGGGCTTTCTGAAATCTGAAAGCCCAAACCAAGATCTCTACCTGGCTAGTACCACTAGAGCAGTTCGGGTTTGGTTTTAGTTTTGTTGGTGCCGGGGATGGAATCCAGGGCCTCTCACATGCTAGGTAAGCACTCTATCACTGAGCTATACTCCTAGCCCAGTTCAGGGATGCTACAGAATTTAATAGAGAATTCTATTTTTTTTATAGAAGACATTATAAATATTGTATAAATCACAGCAGCCAGAAGGTGCCACCTCCTGAGTGCAGTAACATCATGTTTAGTTTAGATAGAGTCTGTTGATCACCATTCTGAAGATGAAAACATCCAAGCTTAGAGACTTGAAGGCCACAGTTCTTCACTGGGAAGTGGCAGAGATGAAACTTAAATCCAAACATTCGAACTTCAGCTCTGGGCTGCTCCTGACACCAGGCTGAGGGGCAGCAAGGATGTCTGTTACCTGTAGCCTCTTCTTGCATTGAGTGTCTGCCTGGTTCCTTGCCTGTACGACAGGAAGCTGAACATCATCCCTTTGCAGGAACCTTTCTTTCTGGTGTGAGGGTTTAGTCCAAAGCAGGATGAGATATTTCCCTACTCAGACCTCTCCAGACGCTTCAGCTTGGCCTACAGCAGCCACAGGGCTCACTCCTCCAAACCCCGAATCACTGCAAAAGAGACACCTCAAATATGTTTTCAGAGGCTTTGTTGGATGAAGGAGGAGTCCAAAAATTCAGTCACTTTAGGAAGACAGACAGCAGATGACCGAGCTGGGGGTGGCTTCATGCAAAATATAAAATGCACAGGAGAGGCAGGGAGGCCAGCCTCCTTGGGGACTTGGCTTGAGGCACAGAAACAGTTAGATGTCCTAGAGAACACAGCATTGCTAGGAAAGCCAGGGCCTTGAGTCTTTGCTCATGTGCCAGGCACACATATGAATCCATGTCCTGGGCTCCTTGGTCTAGTGGGTCTAGAGCTGGCTGGGCTTGAAAGCTCTGTGTGCATACCATTTTGGGGACAAATAATCTTAACCCTTTGCTTCTCTCATCCTTCCCTCTCCTGTGTATATGTCTGTCTCTTTCTCCGTGCGTGGCCTCCCTGCCCTGCCCTGGATCCTTTATTTTAATTTATTATGATTTTTGGTGGCGTGTGGTTCGTTTTGTTGGTCCCCTCGTGTGCTCCCTTCCCCGCTGCAGAACTCGTCCAGCTCAGCCTCCTCCGAAGCCTCGGAAACCTGCCAGTCAGTGAGCGAGTGCAGCTCCCCCACCTCAGTCAGCTCAGGCTCCACCATGGGCGCCTGGGTGTCCACAGAGAAGGTGACTGGCAGGGGTCGCAGCCATGTGGGCCACTCTTCCACTCCTCCCTTGCTGCTCACACAGTCATCAAAGCCAGGGGAGCCTGGAAACTCAGAATCAAAGGCACCAAGAGTGGGCCCTTGTGGGGGACAGAGGGTGGGAGCAGGCTGAGGGCTTTTTTTTTTTTAAATGAGTGTCTGACTGCTGACAGTGACCCTGTGGCTGTGGAGGGAGAGGAAGGAATATGGGGAATTTGGAGGTGTGAAGGCTTCTTTCTAGAACAGGTGTTGTGTGCTCATCCATTCTCCCTTCCCTTTCCAAGCACCCACAAGACTGTTGGCTGTGACATTTCACTGTGTCAGAGGCTGTGTACTTTTTTGCCTTTTAGTTTGCAAACCCCCCCACCCTTGATTTGGAATCTGCTCCTGAACAGTGTGATGATTTTGAAAGCCTAGAATGAACCGATTGATTTGAAGATGCTTCCTAATTTTTCATTTGCATAACAAGATGAGCAAATCCTTATCACCATGTAATTATGCTTCATTAAATAATGAAAAACCACTGAGAGCACTGCAAATTAAGGACAATGATCAATTTCCAAACTATTCTAAAACATATGTCAAATATTTCCTTGATGGAATACTTATTTGGTATCAAATCAATGTGCATTCTTTCCACCAAGCTCATCTGCGAGCATCAGAACCCCAATGTCTGTTTTATTTGTAAAGATTCAGGTACCCTCTTGCCCCAAATGTCAATACCCTCTTGTATCTCCACACTCATCCTGTTATATTAATTTTTTTTCCTTTTCTTCCCCTTTTTTGTTTATTTCCAGTTGTCTAATGGGTTTTCTCACTATAGTTTATCAAGTGAGTCCCATGCGGGGCCCGTGGGTGCAGGCCCTTTCCCTCATTGCCTGCCTGCCTCCCGCCTGCTCCCTCGGGTCACCTCTGTCCACCTTCCAGACTACGCTCATTATTACACCATTGGGCCCGGCATGTTCCCGTCATCTCAGATCCCTAGCTGGAAGGTTTGTGTCTCTCCTCCCTCCCTCCCCTCCACTCGCCCCTCTCTCCCTCCATCGCCTCTGTGCTCACCCTTCTTTTCCACCATCTTCCCCTTGACTCCCCTTTACTCCTTTCACACTCTGCCTTCTTCTCTGTAACGCCTCTCCCTCAGTAAATTCCCACTGGGGTAACCAAAAAGCGGCTGGCAGCTCCGCATGGAACAGAGACTGGGGAGTCTTCCTCTAACAATCTTTAGTTAGCCCTGACAGACAGGAGGTCCACTGTGCATTGCAGGGAGTCTCCGTTCCCTGGTGAGGGCCCAGCTCTGCACGAGGGTCATGCCTGCTGGGGTCACTCCTCCTGGGCCACCTGGTGTGTCAGTTTTATCACGGAGCCTGTACTGTCCTTGGTCATGTACCCCAAACTTCTCCCCTAGTAAGTCTTCTGCTGGGCAGTGGTAACAACTACAGCCCAATAAATGTTTTGGATTGTCATGTTTTATCTTAAAGTTTGTGAAGACTTCTTTAGTTTTCTTTTATATTAAAACATGTTTGCTTTAATATAAAAACAGCTTTAAAATTATCTCCTAGCAAGTTCTGTTGGTAGTCCAGGGAGATTGTCTGCTTTATCTGAGAGTAGGACCCTCATTTGCAAAGGGAGTCCCTAGACTGCCAGCATTTGGAGCAGGTTTTGACTTCATGTGCAGCAGTAGGGATCGCTCAGATTCCTCAACATATTCCTGCTGACCCTGGGAGACTTCCCTTCCTATGGGAGGCCTCCAGCCTCTGGCCCTTGGAAGACCCATTTCCCAGAGGTACAGGATCCTAGGGAGAGTGGCTGGCATTGCTCTAGTGCCCTCTGGTGGCTACTTCACCAGTGCAGGTCATTCTGGTTGCTCAAGGAGATGTAGTTCCTTCAGACAGAAAAGGCCTGGCCCCTGGAACTGCTCTACCCCAGCTGCTGCCTTGCCATATATGCCCCGTTAGGTGGCTGTTTACCAAGTGTCTCCTGCTGCCTGCCTGGTTGTTGAGAGTTTTCAATCTTTAGGCAGAGATGAGGAAAAGGGAGGTGCCCAGGGGCTCCCCAGAGGGCATTCCACTCCTGCCTCTCAGAGCTAGATGGGGGGCAGGCTTGTCCCAACCAGAGCTCCTTGAGGACCAGCTGCCTTCTGTGGGCAGCTGTTTGTGGGTGGCTGCAGCCCTCCACGTGGGGCCAGGACTCTGGCTCCTAATCACACTGTTCTACTTAGGACTGGGCTAAGCCAGGACCCTACGACCAGCCGCTGGTGAACACCCTCCAGCGCCGCAAAGAAAAGCGCGAGGCGGACCCCAATGGGGGAGGACCCAGTACGACAGGAGGCCCACCCACAGCTGCCGAGGAGGCGCCAAGACCCCGGAGCATGACGTGTCGGCGGCCGCCAGGGTGACACTCCTGTTCTCTACAGCTGGTTGGATCCACATAGCCTGGTTGGGGGCCGTAGGCTGGCCGGCCGCTGGGGGGCCCAGGCAGCCTTGCTGCTGGAGTTGCTGGGTTCCATCCCACACTTGCCCTGCAGCATGTAGAAGTCTCCTGGGAAAAGCCTTGTGTGGGAATCAAACATGCAGAACTTTCTAGAGCCTGGGTAGCATCTAAGCAAGTCAGTAGCCATCCAGGCATAAGGAAACATGTGGTACTCACAGCAGCAGAACAGGAATGATGTTGGGCCACCCGGTGTAGTGTGTGGATGGCTATGGGGCCTCACACTGAGGCTTCACAGCCCTGATGGCTTGTCTTTCTCCTCTACCCTGCAGCCTGGTGAGGAAATGGAGGCTTGTGAGGAGCTGGCACTTGCCTTGTCACGGGGTCTTCAGCTGGACACACAGAGGAGCAGTCGGGACTCACTGCAGTGTTCCAGTGGTTACAGCACCCAGACGACCACACCGTGCTGCTCCGAGGACACCATCCCCTCGCAAGGTACTAGGAGCCCAGGCTTTGTGGGTAGCCCCAGGTTGAGGCGGCAGAAAGCCAGCGGCCCTTCTAACCATAGCGTAACCCCTAGCCAACAGATGGGCTTCAGAATTGTTTTGTCATCTGGGAATGCTTCCTGGACTGCAGCACCTTTTCTCATTTTTCATCACTGGGTACGTGGTGGTGCCCAACCCAACCTGAGACATATGCCATTAATGACAGCTTCATTTTTGCCTTGGCATTTTGCACTAAGCACTGTGTACTTACTTCCCATTTAACCTTCACAACCACATATAGGATAAATTCTTATTTCCATTTTACAGATGTGGAAAACTGAGGCCCAGAAACTTGCCCATATTCAGACAACTCATAAGCAGCAGAGATGGAGTTCACCTAAGGCATATTAGAGTCTAGCAGCCAAGCTCTTAATGTGTTCCAGCCAAATCCTGTATCTAACTTGTCTCCCGCATGCACATCCCGCCACACTCACAGGCTAGGCAGGGTGAAGTTCTAACAGCCAGAACACATCTGTGACAGCTGGCCCAAAGCTACCTACAAGCCATCATTAAAGTGTCTAAGACACCGGGTCTTAGCCCCCACCTATCGAGGTGGCTATTAGGGAGGTTTTAAGGTCTCTGCTCATCTTTTTGAGGTTCCTTCCTTACATCAAGTTGGGACTGGAAGATTTGACAAATTTATCTTCTTTCATCCTCCTCATTCCTCCTAGAGCCACTGGGAGGTAGTGAGCTACAGCTCGGCTGTTTTATATCCTTCCCTAAGGACTGCATGCATGGCTACAGTGTGGGTCCTGATCTAGGTGCCCAGGGTACATAAGTGAGCAGAGGCCCGGGCCAGGGACTTCTTACTGAGGCTGATGACACTTCAGAAACTGGTGGGGAGTGGGGGGGAGGTCTGGGATGAGATTGTGTGTATACCCTACCTTGAGAGTCCTCCCGACAGCAGAAGGTAGAAAAGCAAAGCTGCTGCCTTAGATGTGTCTAATCAAATCCTATAATCAGTTTCAGATTATGATTATTTCTCCGTAAGCGGTGACCAGGAGGCAGATCAACAGGAGTTTGATAAATCCTCCACCATTCCGAGAAACAGTGACATCAGCCAGTCCTATCGGCGAATGTTCCAAGCCAAGCGTCCAGCCTCCACAGCTGGTCTTCCTACCACTCTTGGACCTGCTATGGTCACCCCAGGGGTTGCAACCATCCGACGGACCCCTTCCACCAAGCCTTCTGTCCGCCGGGGGACCATTGGGGCTGGTCCCATCCCTATCAAGACACCAGTGATCCCTGTCAAGACCCCAACTGTCCCAGACCTCCCTGGGGTGCTACCAACCCCCTCAGATGGGCCAGAGGAGCGGGGTGAGCACAGCCCTGAGTCTCCATCTGTGGGTGAGGGCCCCCAGGGTGTCACCAATATGCCCTCTTCCATGTGGAGTGGCCAAGCCTCTGTCAACCCTCCACTTCCAGGCCCAAAGCCCAGTATCCCTGAGGAGCACAGACAGGCAATTCCAGAAAGTGAGGCTGAAGAGCAGGAAAGGGATTCCCCAAGTGCCACTGTCTCCCCAGGCCAGATTCCAGAGAGTGACCCTGCAGACCTGAGTCCGAGAGATGCCCCTCAAGGAGAAGACATGCTGAACGCCATCCGAAGGGGTGTGAAACTGAAAAAGACCACGACAAATGATCGTTCAGCCCCTCGGTTCTCTTAGGCTCTTGTAGGCTCCCGGAAAATGCTGCCAGTGGGGAATGAACTCTTTAATTAATAAAACCTAATTTGTCTTGATCCATTCCAATCTATAATCAAACAAAAAATTTTGTAGGCAACTCAGAATTCAGCTCTTTTCAAAGTACTCACCATCTTTAGATAAGAATTAAAAGCAACATATAAAACTGACATAATCTTGATCTTTTAATTTGTAAATATTGACAATTTTGTTTCTGCACATTTTAATCTTAGTTTTCCCTTTTGATTTTTCTGAAGGTGCCAAATTCCATTTAACTTTTTTACAAGTCTTTGTAAAATTTTAAATGCGTAAGGGTGGGATAGGGTGGGATGGGCCACAAAGTAGTTAATTTCAGAAAAGGATTACTATGCTTTCTTTTTTTCTCCCCGCAAGCTTTTGTAGATGCAGTGTAGTCTAGTTTAGAAGCAAATTCAAGTTATTTTAATGTACAAACAAAATGGTAAGAGGTAAAATCCTCACTTAAATATACTAGTTCTGGATGAGAAATGCAGGAGTAACAATTGAACAATATTCAGAGAGAAGTAAATCTGGAAATGGTAGACGGTGTTGGGATTGGGGGGAGGGCTGTGGGAGGGGCACAACTGTCAACATAGCCAATCCTGTTACATTTAAGAGTAGCCTTGTAGGTTCAATTTCTAGTAGCTTCATGGTAAATGCATCTGAATAAGCCATACTGGATTGCAGTGTTTGTTTCTGTAGGTGTTTAAGGACTCCTTTCTCCCACGATTTCTCTTGACTGCACACAGCATCCACCTCCAATCCACGCATGCTGCTGCCACTGGGTGGACGTAGACCCACCCACCCACTTTAGTTTCTCGTCTATTATACTCACCTCCACCAATCCAGACACATCCAAAAGGGGAAGGCAATTTAGAAAATGTGAAAACATTTAAAAATGATAGCAGGGAATTCTTAAATACAGCAAATGCCTTTTACTTAACTGTGCCCAGCAGGCTGGGTGCATAGAAAAGCCCAGATATTTTGAAGAACTTGGAGCATATTCAACAAGGGTAACCAGCTTGGAATCTAGCAATTTGCCAATGTGTTTACCAATTTTGGGAGCTTGTTCTTCTCACCTTCCTTAAGTAAATGGCAGTTAATTGGCTTCATACTAAACACTAAGAGGAGGATTAATTTATTTGTCACTGGGAATCTGCCCACTATACTACCTGTTTTCTATTTTGTGCGTGTTCTAGGCTACGCTTTTTTGGAATGTTTTTGTCTTCTAAGTTGAAGTTATTATAATACCCATCCCCTAAAGTCAACAGAGATTTGTACATTTGTAACTGTGCCTCTCTGGGGAGAGAAGCTTGATGGGTCCCACAACGCCCTGCAGATTTCTGTTGGCACTAACCCTCCGTGACATACTCTTGTTTTAATACATAGCCACATTGGATGTGAGAATAACGTTCCTGTACAGTCGCTGTTCTATATATTAACATTTAACACTGCTGTGATTGCTCAAGGACATTTTAGGTTACGGCTTTAAAGCAAAGGCATGATTATTAGAAACAGCTTTTTTTCCTTTGAAAAACAAGCTCCTTTTACAGACTATAAGCAACAGTAGTGCCTGTGGTTTAGCCCACCAATCTTGATGACTAAAAGTAGCTGATGCATTGTGCATATGATGCTTGAGATGGTTTTTGCAAATGCAGAAATCACTGCAAGGTAATTACATTAGAAAAAAGTGGTATTTTAAACCTTCAAAATAAATGGATGTAACTGTACCTTGGTACAGCTTTTCACTTGTTTAGTTTTTAAACGTTAGTATAATCTGAATAAATTTAATATAAAATGTTGCCAAATTCAATGTAGAAAGAATGTGACAAAACACCTTGGGTAGCCTGTTTGTGTTTTTGCATATTGTAAAAGCAGTGTCACAGCTGAAAATAAAGAAATCCTTTCTAAAGGTAAATTATTGTGGTTTAGTTGCTAGTTTGTACAGAGTTGACTTCTCCCATGCAGCTTTTGTTCTAAACTTGTACAAATAACACTTGTGTAATGTGTCTCCCTTCTACATTGTAACAGTTGCTTCTGCCTACATTATAAATAAAGAACCACTAGGAAAAAAAAAATGCCCTGTATTTCAAGTCTTATTAAAATCAGTTTGAGGTCTTAGTCAAATGTTATAAAATAGACTGAGAGTCAAATTGAACTTACTTAGGTAGAAAACTGACAAAATATTGTTTCTGTCATGGTTATGAAGCCTAAGATCAAGAACTGCCTAAACTAATCCAATGAGTTATCAAGAACTAAAAGCAGCCAGTTTTGGTTGGCAGTTTTAAAAATTGGATTACCTTTAGAAAACAAAACAAAACTTCTTGAACAGTTTAAAGAGTTCTGTTATACCCTTACCTTTGACTTTGCAAATAATCCAAATTATGGAGGAGGAAGCACAGCTGGAAAACTGCATTCAGAGTCAATGTCAAAGCTTCATCCCCTTAGCCCCAACCATCAACCCCTACACCACCACTTCCACAACATAAACTCCATCCCTCTTTGTGGAACTCTGCTTACCAGGAGTGCAGTTCTTTTCATAAAAACTAAAATTCCACTAGTAGAATCCTTAGAAAACCATGAAGATACTTTAAGTCCTAGTATTTCTCTTTTCAGCTTTTTGTATTCCTTCCAGTCACTGCAGCTAATTAAGCCATCAACCTAGTTTGTTCAACTCAGTCTTCACAGTAAATCTTGTATCTGCTTTTTACTAGTTTTCTCTTGGCAATCACGTGTTACCACTATTTTTACATGTGACCAATTTTCTTTACACAGCCTAAATGGTACGAAAATAATGACATGGGTACAATACTTGGCATCATGGTAATCCTTACACAGAAGAACACTTCAGTCATGGCAGACCATGTTTACTTATTTTTATTAGGGCAAGTGTGTGTGTATGCTTGGTAACATTGCAGTATCACCTGCAAGCCTGAAGAGTGAGGTGTCTAAAGTTTCTCTCTACACTGGCCGTTCCCGAGGTCTGGTCACAATATGCCACCACAGTGGGGGCAAATCACCTTCCTTTCTGGCCGGAGGCAAAGCTTCAGTTTTAGGACCATCAGGTGGGGTTTCCTCCTGCAGCTGCTTAACCTAGAAGGGGGCAGTACAGGAACAATTACCAAAGGAATCTCACTGCAAAACCCATCTGTTGTGGTGAGAGCCTTCTTTTTGTGATGTGTCCCATCACACACTATAACCTCACCATGCAGAGGTGTTTTTACAGACCTGCACTTTTCTCAGACAGAAAAGCTCTCTTAAAGAGTTTTCCCATTCTTAAAGGAACAAAGCTGAGACCTCACCTACCCTCTTATTCTTTAAGCAAAATTATGACAACTATCCTTCTAATACCTCTTGTGTGGCCCCTTACTATTCCCGACCCCTAAGAAAAGCATTTATTCTTGTATCTTGGCTAAATGCCCTCTAAAAGCACCTTTAAGAAACCGCAGTTCATATGCATTAGGGATGTTAACTGTAAAGCTCCTCAGCAGGCAGGACAAAAAGTATCATGAGATCACATGTAAAAATGGCTCCGTTCTGCCTGATACTGCCCAGCTACCCCTAGTTCTAGTAACCTGAGATGCCTGCGAATAGAGGTGACATAAAAGCCAAAGTTCCTCCACAAAGGTGTGCTGGTTAACAATGGTGAAAGGTGGAACAAGTAAAGCAGGAATCTTTGAAGAAGAGATTATCAGGGATCAACTGCATAATGAGTCTGCTGCTCACTATGAAGAAAAAAAAAACAAAAACAACCCCCCCCACATTTCTAGTTTCTAAATGTTGCAACACTTCTTATAAAACATGGTGCCATTTGGCCACAGTTACCTTCCTTCCATTTCTCCTTGGTGAAGGAGTTAGAATGATTAACATCCTGGACCTTATTCCCCAAACCAGCACATGATTCCCCAAACCAAATCATGATTTCAGATACCCCATTATCCAACTACTGCCTGCCTTCTAGCTCATTTGCTTAAATAAGCCCTCAAAACTCCAAGAGAGCACTGATTCACAGATTCTCTCTTCCTACTTGACCTCTCTCTCTGCATCAACCCATCTTTACTTCATTCCTTTCCTAATTTTTTTTTTTTTTTGAGACAGGACAGGGTATTGCAATACAAACCAGGTTGGCCTCAAAGTTGCCATCCTCCTATCTCAGCCTCTCGAGCACTGGTTTTACAAGTGTTTAACACCATACTGGGCTTTACTTTATTTATTCAGTTTAGATTCTGGCATGACAACACTTTCTTTGGAGTGTTTAATTCCCCAGTAACTCTCTGGAAAAAGGTCAAACTGAACCATCCACCTTTAACCCTGCATCCAGACAACTCAGTATTGCTAAAGAGAAAAAAATACTGGAAGAAATTAATGTCAATCACATATGAATTACTACCAACCTCAAACAGGCCTGCACCACCACCTGGCAATCCTATTTTTCTCCAGCAAGCTAAATCCTCTCCAAGACAAACACACTTTCCATGTTTTCCACATATACTGTGCCCACTTATTCCAGCTTTTCCTCTTGTTCACTAGAAAAACAAGCCATCACACAGAAGTCTCACCTTCAAAACTTCTAGCCCAAATGTATTTACATGCATCTTAAGCCCAACTATAATGGAAGAAGAGTACCTTCTTTTCTTCTTTCCCTATATGCTCCTGAAGACCTCATTCATTTCTGTGGTTTTAAAAATGATTAAAAAGTCATAATTTCTATTTCTAGACCACATTCCTACATCCAAAGTTGCCTACTGACACACACACTTGATGAACAGGATTCTCAAACTGCACACTTCTGAAACTGAAAACCTGATTGTCCCTCTGACACTTGTTCCCCTACCCAGTCTTTCCTATCTCAACCGTCACCATCAAAACTCTAGACATTAAAGCCGAAAACCTAGAAACCATTGTTGATTCCTTGCTATCCCTCACCCATCCCCCACATCCAATCAACCTTTACATTCCTCTGGAGAATATCCTGAATGTCTATTTCCTTCCACATCTACTGTATCCTCCCTACTGCTGATCACAGCTCTTCACTAAACTACTGTGATAACTCCAAACTGGACTCTTCACTTCTCCTCCTGTCATCTCTTAACTTATTATTCACACTATCACAAGCCTGAGCTTTTAAAAATATAACTCCAACCATCATAGGATGACTGAAAAATGCTTAAGGGTAGAGGAAGGCTAAGAAATGGTAGCATATAGCAAGACGATCAGGCAAAGAACTAAGGAGGAGAGAAGCAAAGAGAACAGAAAATCAAAAAGACTAGAGAACACGTTTTCTGTTTTTTGTAAGATGGCCAGCGTTAAACTGAACACACTGAGTGGCAAGGCGCCAGAGTAATTGGCATGACCTCTGCAGATGGATAGAGTCAGCAAAACCTGAGTCTATCCATGTGATGACCCAGCTCTATGGTTAACTGCAAGTATGATGTACCTCTCGCTCCCAGCTTTCCATCTGCAGTTTCTTCCACTGCTCCCTCTTGGCAAAGTAATCAGGATACATTGCCTTTTCAGAAGGATGCCAGTGATCTAGGCACCATTCTGGAACCTGCCAGGAGAGGAAATCACAGTGTCATTCCACATTATACATTTACATACCACTGCTGGAGAGACAGGAGACAAAAATCAAGGTGTATTCTTATAGCCATTGCAACTACCAGACTATTTCTGATTCTAAGCAATGAGCACTAGAGGATAAGGAGGGACCAAAGGCAAAGGAGAATACCTTAAAATCAAAGAGCCTACAGCTGGAAAATAGCAATGTCAGAACAAAGAGAAATGGCATCATTCCTCCCCACTTGTGTTTTCTAAATACCCAGAGTGATTTTATATTATTTGGAAGTTATCAATTAAGAGTATCTCAGGAATATTAAGTACCAGTCCAAACTGGCTAACTTTAAGGTCTCTATATGAATTACTTACTAAGTAATTTAGAACTTTCCTTTGCCAAAAAGTATATTGCAAGACTCTGGAACTGAGCTTAGAAAGAAAAGTCTTAATGGCATCAGCCAAGAGAGAAAACTGACACCTGAGAAAAAGCATCTGTCAAGTATCAGGAGTGAAATCTCCGAATCAGCCCTGAAAGGACAAGGGATGTGTAAGACTGAGGTCGGTACTATTAGACAAAGTCAGCCCCTCAGAAACAATGGCCACTGTAATCCTGACTTACCTTGTAGCATTCATACCTCTCATAGGAGGTACCCCCAGGAGAGTCAGGGAAGATATATGGCTGTGGGTGCTGACTGTGCCAGAATTCCTCTTCTGCCTCCCTCAGCAGCTGGGTGGCCTTCATCATATCCTTTTCATTCCGATGTTCTTCAAAACGGGCTCTCAACAAGCAAGCAAAGTACCGGTATTTGTCCCTTAAGCCAAAACGATTTGGGAGATTAGAAATGCGATCTATCACAGTGGGCAGTACAGTCTGGTCTGCACTCACACTAACACTGCCTGGAGAAGCAGAGTAACTTCCTGTACCCCCCCTCCACCCTGCCAATGGAACAGTCATTATGGTGCTTCCTCTGTGGCCCTCCAAACATTAGCAGCGAAAGATGCTGTATTAAATTCAGCCCAACCATTTCTCCTTCTCCTCCCAACAAAGGAATAGTGATTTAAACAACAACAAAAGAGCATTCACGAAAGAGAAAAGCAATAGCTTCGCATGTTTACTCAATATTCATTTGAGGAAAACTATTGCACTTCCTCCTACCTTGTAGTAGGGGTAAGCTAAATTCTGGAGACACAAAGATGAGTAAGAAGGGAGGTATGACTGATGGAAAGAGTTTTGCTCAAGTCAAATAGACTGGGTTTGAATTCTGACTCTGATGCTAAGCACAATCTTAGGCAAGTGACAATCTGGTCCTGCAGAAACTGGGCAGATGTGAGCTAAGAGGATTTGACAATAGTTCAGATTAGAGATGACAAGGGCCTAAAGCGGGCAGTTGCAGTGACAAACAGGATACAGGAGAAAAATATTTAGATCACCAAGTTATGAGACTGGGCCTGAATCTTAGCACTGTTACTACTAGCTGGTGATGTGGGGTACATTACTTAATGTCTCTAGGCCTTGGGTTTCTCCTTCATGTGTTAATAACTGTGTCTCTATTCTAAGATTGCCTTACTGATTTGATGTTCTGAAACACCTAAACACATTTCACAAAATACCTGGTGTGTTCCAAGTGTTAAATAATGAAACAGGCATTCTTACATGGGAGAATTTACAAAATCCAATTATACACAGTGCATGAGTATGTGTTTCAATGATAGAGAGGGAAGCCTTGAGAACAATTCTGAGGCTTACAGCTTAGTGTCTGAAGTGCTAACAATACCATTAGCTGAGGCAGGGAATTTGGGAAGAGAATTGGAATGGGGGAGTGAAAAGAAAGTAAGTTTGGTTTTAAAGAACTTAGATAAGTTATGTTTTAGAGAATGGCAGAACTAAAAATACAGATCTAAAGGCAAATAAGCATAGATGGTAACTTAAGTCCCAGCATTAAATTAGGGCACCCAAAGTACATACAGCACTACAGAGTGCCTAGAATGGAAACACAGAGAATAAACAGCAAAATACCATGAAGGCAAATGAAGGAAGAAATTCAGGTAAAGGCCAAAAGAAGATATTAATAAGATTTTAAAATCTTTGAGGCCTGGTGCCAGTGGCTCATGCCTACAATCATAGCTACTACTCAGGAGGAAGAGATCAGGAGGATTGCCAGTTTGAAGCCAGCCATGGGCAAACAGTTCTCAAGACCCTATTTTGAAAATACCCAATACAAAACAGGGCTGTTGGACTGGCTCAGGTGGTAGAGCGCCTGCCTAGCAAGTGTGAGGCCCTGAGTTCAAACCCCAGTACCACCAAAAAACCAAACCGAAACAAAAACAACTTTGAGCCAATATTGTCACAGTAGCTCACTTCATTATTTCCTCCATGATTCCGAGCTTTAATATTCCCATGTATAGTTCAGCATTACCTGAAATCTTGATGGCTTAACTTCCTTCATAAGATTGACAATTCTCTATGTTACCTATTATTTTACATGTTCATTTTCCCCACACATTCATGAGCTGCTGCAGCTCAAAAAAGAATTCACTTTTATTTATTTGGCATCCAACATGGAAACCAAATTGCAAGTTCTGTCAAATAAATGAATGAGAAAAACTCAGGAAAGAAACCAACAATCCTTCAGCATTGTACCTGGCTCCCTTCCTGACTAGCAAAAGTTAGTATAATTACAAATTTCCATTCTGGGCTGTAAGGATACCCTCTGCAACTCTTCCAGGTCTACTTAGTTTTCCATGGTTTCTCCCAGAAGTCCTTTGCTGGAACTAGGTTTTAAGATTCTGAGTAGAAGAGTCCTGGCATTCACACATCTTGGGTTGTCACCCCACCTTGCATTGTATTTAGGTCAAGAAACCCTATACATTTTAACATTACATTCCAACACCAGTACCAGATGGGTAGAGAAGGAAAGAAGAGAATTATGTGGGAGGTGAAAAATATATAAAGGTAATGAGAAGGCCTGGATGAAGCTAAAAATGGAAAAACTGATGGGAAGTGTGGGACACGATGATTCTTTGGAGTCAGACACCTGAGTTTTAGTCCTGGCCCTGAGCAAGTCACTCCCCGTGCTTATCTGCTCATCTCTAAAATAATTCCTAACTCCTGAGTTGCTCTGTTGACTATACAATGTGCACGTTATTACTGATAATATTAGGAAAGACAAGGTCACAAAGAAAGCGTATTTATTGAGTGCTGGGCCCTTGACAATCAGCTTTAGGCACTTTCCTAATGTACCTTCATCCACCCTCTGCGCTGCGTCCTGCCTCCGTTTTACAGAACTGATGCCTGTATCTCTGCAAGGTCTGGCAGCTATGGGCCGGGAAGTTTGCATTAGAATCCAGGTCCAAGGGCGCGCTCCGCGGAGCAAGAGATCGCCGTTCCATTACGTCCCTAATGTCCTTGAACTGCCTGGTCCCCCGGGGCCTGTCAGCTTCCGTCCCCAAGATCACCTCCCCGAGCCCTGGGTCCCCCTCTCCCACCTGTGGATACACCACGACTCCAGATGGCGGAGCGCCCGCTTATAAAGCCGCAACACCTTCTGTTGGTGTGTCAGATAGGCCGGCGGGGCGCACAACGCCATGACGGCTCGCTCCACTCCAGCTGCCCCGAGAACTGACGGGAAGTCGGAGTTTTGCGGCTGAGGGGCGGGTCTAATGGCCGGAAAGGCGGATAGAATAGCCGGAAGGGCGGGGCGGGCCGCCCGCGGCCACTTCCGCTTCCGCCGGGGAGGAGCCAAGTGGACTGTCATGAGTCGCTTCAAGTTTATCGGTAAGGACAGGCTCTTCTGGCCGTTTGTCCAGTCTGGCTCGTACCGGTTATCGCTCACCCTGGTCAGAGGACCCAGGTCTTGCGCCCTCAGGGTTTTTAAGGCGTGAAAGGTCCACTTAATGGAAGAGAGTGCAGGGAGGCTTCTGGGGGATCGTAGTGAATGTTCAAAGTGCTGGTTTCACCAGTGTGTGTTTATTGTGAAGATTCACGAGCCTGCTAGGATTTGTGCACGTTTCAGTGTGTGTTTGTTGTGTCATTAAAAAGAGAGGAAAGCGATTTGGGGGTGTAGCTCAATGGTAGAGCACTTGTCTAGCATGAGAGAGGCCCAGTGTTTGATCACTGTCCCCCTTGCGCCTTCTCCTTTCCTCTTCGTGGCCAAGAAGATAATGGCTTTATTCAGTCATTGAGTCATACATATCACAGTTACTGGGTGCCTTTGGGGGCACTGGCATTGGCCTAGGAACACAGGGCACCAAGACCTGGTCGCAGCTCAGCCATCATCACCATCTGATAGATAAACCAGAGGACACAAATAATGGGGTGAAAAACAAATTCTTTTACTTGGCAGGTCCAGTGATCCATTCAGCGCTGGTAGAAGAAAGAGAGAATGCAGTGGGAATCCAAATGGGTACACATCTTTATCCCCAGGCACTTAGGAAAACCTGAGGGACATTGCAAGGCCTAGGACTGGAAGGATAACTTGGAACCTGAGTATTGCTTAGTTTCACTCTGTATAAAGTGAGGTCACTGAAGGCTTTTCACAAGGAGTATTTATTCAGTATTTCACTGAATCTTCCACTCTGGGATACAGTACAGCAGTAAGTAAAACTGGGACATGATCTTCTGGAGTTTTCAGCCACTTAAGGTGGGAAATGACAGTGAGCACATCTCTGCCTTAGTAAAGTAATCCTGATGCTATTACAGAGATTTAGCAGGGGATAGGCAGACACAGGGAGCACTTCACATATTGAACCAGGAAGAAGAGAAATGGAAGAGATTTTGCAGCTAACTGTGCATGGCAGGTTATGGAAAGTGAACAGTCAAGAACACCTCCAGGTTTGGAGAAAAACCCAATATGAAATGGAAGCCTGACTGGTTTGCAGTAGGTGGGCGAGTCACCCAGGTGCATTTGGATTAGGTCCATTTGAAAGTCTTAAAGGACATCCAGGTGGACACAGCAAACAGGCACTTGGAACGTAGTCTAGCACTCTGGAGAGCGGTTAAGGCGATGAACATAGATTGGACAGTTACTTTAAGTACTATGTTTTTCCAAAGACGCTGTAGTAAGTACTGTGGAACTATAAAAAAATCTAGTAGCAGCACAGTTAGTTTTCATACTGGACCTATGTACAGTCAAAGCAAATGTGAGGGAGGATGTTAGTGGCATAAAAGTTTTAAAAATGCTATTGGGGGGAGGGGGTGCTCCGCAAATGTTGTAAGACATTTTCTACAATGTGGTGTCTCTCTCCACCCTAATCCGTGATATAATTGATGGGGAAGATGGAATAAGGAGCCATGGAACATTCCATAAAGGAAGTACTTTTTAAAAGGTGTGTGTGATGTAGAGCAATTCCCTATCTCAAGTCATGCCTCTTTAATTCACAGTAGTCTATCTAAAAATTCAACTAAATTTTTCTTTTGCTTCAGATCTTTCATTTACTCTCCTCAGGATACCTGAATTGTCTTAGCAACATACAAAGCCTTTCTGCAGTCTGGTCCTGCCCACTTTTCCAGCTTCATCCTTTGTGTGCCCTATAAGCATGTGTCTGTTTCCTACCTCTCAGAAGATTTTAAAATGGAAATTTGGGGCCAGAGTTCCTTTTGCTTCTGATGTCCTTCTGACTTCCCTGTTGCCTTTTTTTTTTTTAATTCTTAAGACTTCATAACTCTGCCCTTTACCACATTACTTATAATTAAATATTTATGTCTTGCCTTTCCCATGAGAGCAGACTCTTAAAGCAAGCACTGGCATTTTTCTTTGCTTGCCTTGACTTACTTAGTACAGTGATTATTCAATGGAAGTATGAATGAGTGGGTAAAAGAATATATGTGGCTTTAGTGCTAAGGTGATAAAAAATTGATAACGGAATCAAACCCAATAAGATAGAAAAGGTAACTTTCTTGGAATAAATAATTAGGATTTATTTTCCTTTAAGATCTCCTCAGTTATACTCTCCTAATTAACTATTTTAAAAGTTTAAAGTATATTCTTCCCTATTTTTCCCCTGTTGGGTGGTATTGGGATTTGAACTCAGCCTTATGCTTTCTGAGAAGGTGCTTTACCACTTGAACCACACTCCCTACCTTATACTTCCCTAACTTTTAAAATAAATTTATACAGATTAATAAAAAACATACACAAACATGAGGGTTTTCTTTTCTTTAAAAGAAAATGGGGTCATACTGTACAACTTGGTCTGATATTTAATCTTGTATTCTATGTCACTTTAAAAACACTTCCTCTGAACCATTACACAGGTTTCTTAGCCAACTAAATAATTTGTGAAGAATACTTTGAAAAATACTGTATTAGATCCATGGACAGTTGGTCCATGAACAAGCTTCACGTGGAAAAGTTCCTTAAGAGTTAAGGAACTTAACTTATGAAAGCAGCCATAGATTTTAGTCTAGAACAGTTGACTATCTTCAGGTTGTAATACTTTTACACTTCCTTCTTTAATTACTAAGAAGTGATTTCTCCTTCTAACTACACTCAGTGTTTCTAATGTGGGGGAGAAGGATGGGAAGCAGGACTGTTTATCTAAAAGTTTCTGTTGCCTCCTAGTGGTGCAGCTCTGGGGAACAAACCTTTAACAGCTGGCCTTTGGAGGACACTGAAGCTCCAAACAATAGCACGAGGCCTAATTTTCAATTTTCTGCCCTGAGTGTGATAGTCTACCCTCCTGTCAAGGGTGGTACCCACATATGTTCTCTTCCCTGCAGCAAATCTGTGATTCCAACTACAGATTACAGGCTTTCCTATGTTCTGCACGCCAGCTACAGAAGCCTTGATCTTAGGTCTCAGTAGGAGGAGGAAGCATCTCCAAAATAGTCAAGGGGGAAATTAGGCCCTGTTCCACTGTTAGTGTCATTAAACACATTTGGATGCAAGGGCATAGTTCTCTGACCTAACTAATAATCTGAAAGCTCTTCATCTACTCCCAGGAATTCAGAACCAGGCAAAGAAAGATGTGAAGAAACCCAAGATTAAGGTTACACGAGTCTGAGAGGGTTGCTCAGCGATAGAGTGCTTGCCTGGCATGTACGGGGGCCCTGCGTTCTATCCCCAGCACCATAAGGTGTTGGACAGAGGTTTTTGATATTTTCAAGTAATTACTGTCAGAAGACAAAATTATAACACATTTAATTATAGATTTAGTTGACTTTTATTCACATTCATGAGTTAGGGCTGCCACCATTCCACAAAACAGAGGGAGAGAACCTACTGGGCAGTGGCAGAACAGTGGGTTTTGTGAGGTGGGAACAAAGAAAACTGGATAGAAAAAAAAAAAACTGGGTAATTTCAGGTTACTTCTTCCTAACGATTAAAGCAGAGATTATTTCCTTATTACCTGACTTGGGGGACTGGAATTTCCTGTTTTTAAAAAATCTAGTCTATTTTGGGATCTTTCTGCTTCCTTAAAGTTTCAGTTTGATTATGTGGCACTTTGCATGAGTGACTCCATTTTTGTTAGAGCTGATTTTGGAGGCCTAGTACAGTAGTTCTGTCTAGCTACTAGCTAGACATCATCTATCTAGTAGGTGTCCATCATTTTGTTATAAAATGACCTAATTTACTGAAAACGTCAACATTATGGAAAGGTAAAAGAAAAAAGCAACATATCACCAAAAATCCCACCTCCCAGAAATAAACTGATAAAAATAAAATTTCAGAATCTCTGTATATGGAGTAAGATAGATAGAAAATATTTTTTAAAACAGCATCTTGCCACACTTGCCATCTTAAGGGAAAAGTATTTAATTGTATTTGAACATATCAGAAGAGAAAAAACTGAAAGGATATTGAACTTGTGATAAGTACCTATATTTCTTCACCAGAGGAGTCTCCTTTAAGGCTAAGGAAAAAATGTAATTAATATCACTGAGACCTTTGGAGCCATTTTGATTTAACTTTTATTTAGCTAGTTATTTACATGTAATTATCAGTTAATTTCCTGAAATAAAGCATGAGGGAATCAGCACAGCACTCTTAGACTTTTTATATACATTCCTTCTGTTTTTCACAGGTTTTTTTTTTTTTTTTTTTTGGCAGTACTGGGGATTGAATTTAGGGCATACACCTTGAGCCACTCCACCAGCTCTTTTTTGTGCTGTTTTTTTTGTTTTGTTTTGTTTTGAGATAGTACCCAATCCCTTAGCTTTTTAATCTAACACAGAGGCTTATAAACTTTTTCTTTAAAGGACTATGTAGAGTATATTTTAGACTTCATGGGCTACATTACCTCTATTACAGCTGTAGATGGTCCCTGACTTATAATGGTTCAACTGATTTTTTTTTTTTTTTGATTAGGGATTTTTTTCCTAGGGGACAAAAATGTAGCCACACAGCCATTGCTTTTCACTTTCAGTACAGTATTCAGCAAATTACATGTGATAGCAACACTTTATTATAAAATAGGCTTTTCGTTAGATGATTTTGCCCAACTGTAGGCTAATGTAACTGTTTTGAGTGTGTTTAAGATTGGTAGGCAAAGCTATGGTATTCAGTAGGTTAGGAATATTAGATGTACTTTTGACTTAAGGATGTTTTCAACTTAGATGGGATGTGAGTTGTGGACATCTATATTCAACTGTAAATTTGTGTAATATTGTGACATAATAAATATTC